TTGTTTAAGTTATCTTTTCCCCATCACAATTGTGGTTTGGAGTTCACATAGGCCTATATGGTGCTTAAAGTTTTTTGAAGCGTAGAATGTTCTCATTTTAGTTTGACTGCTGATGCCAATTTATTTTGATGCAGTTGGTTGATCAGCATTCCACCACTACATTTGCGTTGCACTGCTATCTGGATATGCAAGATAATGAAGGTCAAAGGAGAGGTGCGGTGCATGTTAAAGAGCTCCAGCTCCATTCAGGAGGTTCTGACCCCACTCACAAACGCTGAGTGTGTTGACCAAAGTCTGCAGTCTGTACTACTACAAGGTTCATTCAAGACGCAAAACATGTCCAAAAACATGCTGCCACGTCAATCATAAAACACAGCCAATCAGAACAGTTGTCTCCGTTTGCACGCGCTTTTCGCAACACACTGCAGCCGAAAACATACCTTGTATTTCAATAATGTTTCACCAGACGGATTCTAAACTTCCAAGATCAGTGTTTTCTCATCCATGCTTGATGATTACAGACAGAGCCGCTGAAAAACAGATTTGCGACATGCTGTGATCTCGCCGCCATATGGTCACGTGGTTCATGGAACTCTCAATCCAAACATTCCAACTGTGAAGTTTGAATGGGATTAAGTACACAGTAAAAAAAAAGGTGTTGTTTCAACTTAAAAAAGTAAGTGTTCGTACTGCCTTAAAATTTTAAGTTTTGTGAACTTAAATTGTGAAGTTGTCTTAACTGAAGATAAAGTTGACAGGACTTTATAAATCAAGCGCAATAAACATAATTTAAGTTTAATCATTTGAATTTTATATTTCCACTAAAACAAGTTCAATTCATTAACAACAATACTGTATGAAGCATACAGTGATGCACTGCATAAAAAAATAATACTGCATAAAATACAGTAATGTACTGCATCAACAATACTGTATGAAGCATACAGTGATGCACTGCATAAAAAATAATACTGCATAAAATACAGTAATGTACTGCATGAACAACGATCATGTAGGCTACTATATCAAGCATAGTGATGTACTGCATAAAATAGAGTAATGCACTGCAAGAACAACAATACTGTACAAACATACAGTAATGTACTGCATTAACAATAATACTGTATAAACAGTATAAAAGTGTCTAAAATCAAACAAGATATTTTTATATTCAGTTACATACGTTGGTATGGCATAAAGTACCATGTCAAGAAAAAAATAATTAAACATTCAGTTTTTAAAAAAACAATAACCAGAAATTCACAAGACAAATCATGAACAACAAAAAGGTGCACACCATGCACCTTCACAGAGCCACTGATCACCTCCAAGGTAAATGAAAATCTTGAATGACCTCAAATGTGTAGCGTATTTTTGGGGGGTAATCAATATTAAGTGCAAAAATCAGCCCGACTAGTAGAGCTACAGCATGAGGGAGGTCTTTGACATCTCTCAGGACAATCTGTTCCTCCAGCACCACATAGTAGTTAAAGGCATCATCTCCATCAGGCATTATGAGAATTGTTCACATCCATTCCTGCCGTCACACGGTCTTCAATGTCTGTACCCTGTATAATGTAAAGAAGATTCTATGAAAATATAACCTTGATATCTTTAATACTGACCAAGGCCATATCAAAAGACTGAAATCACAGTGAAAGTAACAGATAAAATCAAACTTTGGCATTCGTTATCTCATAATTAGATTATGAAACTATCCTAGATTTCACAGACAGGGTCATGATTAGACATATACAGACCATTATTTTAAGCAAAGGTATTAAAATGCAAGTCTACCTCTGCTGACTTGAAATCTGACGGATCCTCATTGAGGTAATGTGGAAGGCCCTGAAAAACAACAGCCCTTTTCATTGACATGGAATTCTTAAATAAAATAAAAAATGATTAGATTGATTTAGGCTAAGGCTGACAAAAATCTAACTGCTTCATAACTGTCTCTAGTCTAATGGCGCTTTTCCACTGCATGGTACAGTACGGCTCAGTACGGTTCACTTTTGGGGGGTTTTCCACTGGGTACAGTACCTGGTACCTTTTTTAGTACCACCTTGGTTGAGGTTCCAAGTGAACCGTACCGTTACCAAAACGTGTCGTGTAAACTCTCTCGTTGATAGCAGAGGAGCGGATCCAGCGAGAGCTTGATGGGGCGACGCAGAATGAAAAAGTTTTGTAGCGGTGTAATTGTACAAACTACTCAACAAACTACAAATATACAAACAAACCTCACCTATCCAGTAAACCGGAGCTTCTTAGTCTGGACACAGGAACAGGAAGCTCTGATGTACAATTCTGAAAATAACAAAATAATTAGAGGAGAACTTGCACATTAATAAAAATAGGCCTACTGCTCAATAAACTACAGTTATATAGAAACAAACCTCACCTATCCAGTCAAATGGAGCCTCTTAAGTCTGGACACAGAAACGGAAAGCTCTGAGGTGTAATTCTGCAAATAACGAAAGACAAAAGAATTAGAAAACTTACATGTTAATACAAATTTAGCTTGGATCACAGGAATAAATTACATTTTAAAATATATTCAAATAGAAAGCAGTTATTTTAAATAGTAAAAATATTTCACAATATTAACTTGCTGCTTTTGCTGTATTTTGGATCAAATGAACGCAGGACTGAAGAATGGAGTAATGATGCTGAAAATTCAGCTTTACATCACAGAAATAAATTACATTTTAAAATATATTCAAATAGAAAGGAGTTATTTTAAATAGTAAAAATATTTCACAATATTAACTTTGCGGAGTTAAAGTATATTTGAAACAGCATGCACCGATGAATCAAGCATTAAGAATGTAAACATTGAAATATGCAAATCAAAGAGAAAATGAAATTGCACAAAAATAAACTCATTATAAAGATATCTTGCGACTGCACACTACACTAGCTCCAATTCACTAAGGGAGCGGTGGCTCAGGGTGTCAAAGATGTGGAAACATTTCAGCAGAATCACAGACCCAGCTGGGCTAGGCTGGATTTCTGTCTCTTTCTTTCGTCTCCCTCCTCTGCTACAGACCAAAACCTCATCTATCCCCAAAGCCCCCAAGACACAGGTCCCCGCACCAGACAGGCCATCTGTCAAAACAAGACGTCACATCACAGCTTGCCATAAATGCCGTAATCGTGGAGAAAAAGCCACTATAAGTGTGCTTATTCAGGGTAAAACTCTGAACTATGGCCTCAGTCGCAGACAGCGTGATGTAAAACTATTTGCACTGTAACCCATTACATCTATCATTGCATTTTAACCTTTAACCCTGCTTTGACTGATTCTGTTCCCAAGCTAAATTGCTCAAAAAAAGAAAATATTGCGAACACTTTACAATAAGGTTCTATTTGTTAAATACATCCTTTAACACAAATTAACAATGAAAAACTAACATTAGGCCTACCTAATTGGACCTTATTGTAAAAGTGTTACCAAAATGTCTCAAAATAAACATAATAAAGGCTTCTTTGTTATCAATATGGACTCTCTTTCACTGCTGTGCCATCACACAGACAATTACCTCAGAACATGTGTCAGTCTGCCCTCTGCTCCTCATGGGGTTTCCTCCATCACCATTTCCCTTCATGCATTTCTTATGTCAGTGCTTTCTGCAGAGCCAATCAATATGCAAAAAAAAAGGCCAAAATAATCTACACTGTGATTCATTTTGGATTGTAGCTATCAAGGTTTTGGTGATACAAGAAGAATAGTTGTCTTGTCACACAAAGGCAACTGTACCTGTAGTTGTGTTTTTCCATCAGTTATATCTTATACCTTGTCGTGCAGCAAACTGCCCTCATTAGGGCGGGATAAGTGGCTGGTCGGATATCCTATATCCTGATAGGAAACTCAATATTTCACAGCTGAGCAGTTAAGTGTGCTTCTGAAGAACCCTACATTGGTGAACATCAGCTAAACAGTATTATCTGTAAAGTGATATGTCAGATTTAAGGGGGGAAAACAGAATTCAACTACTGCATGTGACCAATCAGCATCATAAAACTTTACAGTGCATGTAATTCTCATTGCTAAGAATAATGACCTCTTAAAAATATCATCGACTTTCTCATCATGTGTGCATACCATGATCGTGCGCTTCAAAAATGAATTCATATATTCAGGAATATCTGGCTGCACAAATGTCCTCTGACTAAAAATAGCAACTGATCAGTGGTTTCCCTGACTACAACCCCACTGTGAATGGCTTTAAGACTTATACAGAGATGAGCAAAAATGTTTTAAGGGCTCTGATCTCAGAGCCAACCTTGATACGACTGGACGGAAAAGTAATAAAGAACATGTCTTTGAGATGATGATCGAGTGATGTCAGCACAACTGCTGGTTTTACTGCTTCGTCTTTTTAAGAGTTATTGACTATTTTGCTCTCTTTGAAACACAGAGTCACTAAATTCAACATTTTATAAATTATGTTTAATCATATATATATATTTACATATAGACCCACATTCAAAACATCATGCCATTATCAATTTGTACGACATTTGACACCTATAAATCTGCAGATTTAGTTTCTCAATTAATTCTGATTAAATAAACTCTGATAATGAACAGCTTTAAGTACAATCAGCTGAAGGGTTTTAAAATGCTGTTGTTTTACAATTTTGATGCTTAAATGTAAAATTACAAAAAATAAAATGTTTATATGCATTCATCATGCATTCATTATACGGTCTAAGTGGTTTCATTATAGCGGTCAAAAGTGTTTGTTTTGTTAAATCAAGTTACAGCTATTTGAAGGTGATTAAAATCAAACATGATTAAAAGGAAGAATTTTCAATCACAAAACAAAGAAAATTCACCAGTGTGTGCATTGTGCAAATGTGTGAAACTACATCACATTGAGAACAGGGAAGCACTGTGTTTAACATTCCGTCGGCCTCGCAGCTCATATCATAAAGAAGAGCTACAGTTAAAATAGTCCATAGAGGTTAAATGATCATGGTAAAAAAAAGTTTTCACTTCTTGCGAGGGACCTTGTCACCCAGAGGGACGTCATCCATGAGTTTCTGCAGATGTGAAAGGTAAAGAAAGAGTTTGATAGCTGTACAAAAAAAAGAAGTCATGCTTATTGACTGAAGAAAGGACAGTATCAGCCCACCTTAAGCAGTCTAGCAAAGTATGCTCTATCGTCTTCTCCGTCCCCCTGTCTGACGTCCACATGGTATCTCCTGCAGGCCACGGCCAGCTCATCAAGAGTGTAAAGGTGGGCGGGGTCAATAGAATGCCCATTAATGAGGCTGACCAGATACTCTCGATAATGCTTCCTAAAACACAGGGGGATACCACTATTTAATTTACTCCTAACAAGTAATTTGGGTCATTTTGTCTTGCTGAGTACACCGGGCTTTTATTTGACCTGTTTTTTTTCTTTTAAAGTCAACAGATGCATTTGGCCATTGCATTGCAACTGATGTTTTTGTCAGTGTCTCACTAATCCTGCTTAAGACTAAAGCATACTGCGGTCAACATTTAAACGGGATTACAATATTCACTCACAATGTGGCAATTTAAATACTATACTTCATATTAGAGTTGACATATTGCAGGTATTCAAACATTTGTTAGAGTCTTTGGGCCAGATTTACTAACAGCTTGCGCCAGCGCAAACAGTCTTTTGGCGTTAAATTAGTACTGTCAGGATTTACTAAAGGTGCGCAGTGAAGAACTAGTGCTTACAAGGAGTGGACAGAGTTATTTTTGTGCCTGACCTTATTGGAAATGCATTTGTAAGAGTTTCCCTTTCAGACTCAAAATCTATGGGAGGAGAGTATTAAAATGAACCACGCAACGTGATTTACTAATGTTTGCGCCTGTCAAATTACTGGTATTTGCGCCATTATTTAATGCTCCAAAAAAGCATGTTATTTTGTGCTTGTTTGTCAGTTTCCATGTAACAAGCTGCGCCTGTGTCACAAGTACATCACCTGCACCTGATGAGCATTGGATCTGCTTATTTGCGACTACGCTTATTTGTGCTGCACTTGGTATATTGCATTGGTCGATATGTAAATGAGATGTTGTGTCTGTGTTCTTTAATTTGAGCGTTGTCAGTAAATCACTCGCAAAAATATCCAAGCCCATCTGTGCTGTTTTGGAATTGCACTCTCACACTAATTTGCCGTTAAGTAAATCTGGTCCTTTATGTTATAGAGTCCTGCAGGAATGAGTCCTAAAACACAGAAATTAATTGTTGCACTACTGGTTCCATCGTCCTTAAGTCAATTTTTTTTTAATGGGTTTTTGGTTGAAAGCCTGAAATAACGTCCAACAATAAAGCTCAAGATATTTTCACATTTTATTCTACGACATAAAATACACCAGTAATACCCCACTCGTGATTTTCTAAGCTTTTATGCATCTTGAAAAAACTAGTATGTCTTGAGAATATACTAGTGATCGTGCAAAACTATTCTAAACTCAAATTTGTAGATCTTAAAGATTGAAAGAGCTGTCATAAGCTTAGTGGTGGTGATGTTGAAATTCATTTATAGCCTACCTTGAGCTTTTCACTTCTGGCTACTGGCAGTTTTTCCAAAGAAAGACTGATTTAAAAATGATTCAGATTGATAGAGTTGATGGTACTGCCAAAAATGATGTAACCAAGTGCAAAATTTAATTTTTCAACATGTTTAAAAATGAAACATAATTTACATAATCAAACAGACTGTGTTTGTCTAATTGTCGTGACAATCAAATCACATTGAAAATCCAGGTTTTTCCTGTACCCGTTAACAGACAAATACATAGACATGGCATAAAATAAAAAGAAATAGGTTTTAGCTTTGAAAGGAAGAAACTATCAGTCATAAAGATTAATATTAACTACATTTAAAGTTTACGTTACATATTTAAATATACATTTATTATAAACTTCATATATGTATTACATATTCAAGTATATATATATATATTTATTTATAAATCATTGATTTCATTTTTGTATTTGCTTATTGATTACACCACTTGATACCCATTATTGACAGGTAACATAAAAGATACAATTGAGTTGTTGTTGTTTTAGCATTCACCCATTTTATGAATTTATTCTTTTACTAACAGTTCCTGAAAAGCAGTGGTCGAATTCTTAATCCTCCTCATTCAAACCTAGAATTGGTGTGTAGTGAACTTGATCCGAACAAGGCTATATGACCATATTTTAGTCTATGAGACCATTCTATTGTTGACATTTTTCAGATCTTGATTAGTCACAATTAACACATGCCACATACTAATCAGTGTTACAGACAGACAGATAGATAAGAGTTGGACAGGCAGACAGATAAATAGATCTGTTTAAAATTCCACCTATAGAACTTCATATTTAATATTTCATCATACTGAATCCTTAAAATGACCTTCTGATGTATAGACAGAAGGACAGATATACAGATAAAAAGAAAGTCAGATGAATGGATTGAGAAGAAAAGAGAGGGAGAGAAAAAGTCTTAAGTGAAACGCTACACTAGAAACAACTATTGTGCAATCAGTAACTCATATAAACTCAGAATAAAAATGCCTGTGAAAAATATCCAACATTAATATTTCATTTCGTTTACCTTCTCCACTGGACCAAACACAACAAAAACAAACAAACAGACCATATAAGCAGGCAACATATTTCTTAAGGTTAAGATCTATTCTGGCAGTCAGAGTCGGGCAGGGGCAGTGATGGCAGCAATACTGTTTGCTGTGAGAATATGTGGATTAGAAGAGTGAAAGCACAGTTCCGACAGGCTTCTAGAGCAGATCAAAAGGTGACTCACTGATCCCATTGTCACGCAGGTATCCGGCCAAGCCCTGCCTCTGGTACTCGGGGTCATTCTCTCGCTTCCACAGCTGGAACTGCTCGCACGAGAGCCCCATGTGCTGCGGCTCCCACTGCAAAAAGTGACAGACAGATAAATAGTAAGGCATTAACTACCATCATTCAATGAAGTATTCATTCAGTTTTTTTGTCATTACACATACATATGAGACAGTTTGTTTTGGATTTTTTGGTAAACATAATGTGTTATTGCATATGCAACACTATTTTGAAGCTACTGACTACTGTCATTCTACTGAAAAACACAGGTGAATTGATAGTGCCGCTACTTTTAATTACTCCCCAACACTGACGTTCAAGTCCTGTGTTCATGTACGGTTCCTGCATATCTGTTTCTTGCTTTCTGAAAACACTTACCGGTTTTTTGCATTGAGCACAGAAGCTTTTCCTGCACTGCATACAGGTGACCTTGAGTTGATCGCCATCGTAGATGAAGCCATATGAGCACTGTGGAATTGAGAAGAGAGTGAAAGAGATGCAAACATGAAGACACTTCACATCATGCACCTCTTTTCAGATCACTAAATTACGCTTGAATGAGACTACAGCTTTTTGAGCATGAGAGCCATCTCTGAGAAGAAGTGAACAGTGAGGAAGTGCAGGGAGGCAGTGTCACTCACATGGCTGCACCACAGGAACTTTGGGTCCTTGATGAGAGCCTGCTCAGTCAGCTTTTTGTGGAAAAGATCGTACACATCCGGTTCGAGACAATCCCTGAGCTGGGCAGTCACACACACACACACACACACACACACACAAACACACACACACAAGATTGTTTCATACATCACAGTGAGTAGCTAGCAGCTCAATTATATTGCTGCTGTGTCAAGTCCCAGTATTGCACTGACCATCTTTATTTTATTTTTTTCTCTCTCTCGCAGTACCTGTATATCCAGAGTGGAGAAGTAGCTGTTCAGGTGCTCAGGGTTGTTGATGTCAGGCTCTGTGCAGACAGGACACACCATGTCTCTGATGTGCTTGTCCCTCACCGCTATAGTGAAATGCTGCTTGAAACATCCACAGCACACAGAGCACTGGCACGATGTCAGAGACTGCATCTAAGACAGACAGAAAAAAACACACCAAAAAATAGTCCTGACTTAATGTAAGGTACTTTCAAACACATACATTAGCCAAAAAAAGGTAACACCATTTTTCCATGTAGAGATCATTTGTGAACAGGACCCGGTAGGACAGTATGCAGTATGACAATATAAACTGTCAGAAGGTAGAAATATGTCCATATGTGTTCCACAGACGAAAGAAAGTCATACAGGTTTAGAACAAAATAATGGTGAGTAAATAATGACTTGATGATGATTTCTGGGTCTACTTTCCCTCTAATAGTTAATATGCCTAAAGGTAAGGGCATTCTGATGTAAAAAGTGCAAGATTTGGAGCCAATCACATAGAAGGAGCTGACGCAAAGTACCTTGCTGTGGGGAAAAACTGACAGGCAGATGGGGCATTCCTTATTCAGCACACGGCGAATGAAGTCCCGGTCAGGTGATTCACGCACGGCCTGAATCACATCCTCCAGTGTGTATGTGGCTGTAGTGTCCCGCAGCAAAGACAGAACCAGCTCACAACGCCCCCAGCTAGGCAGATCAAACACTGCTAGCAGCCTACGGCAAACATGCTAAACACAAAGAATAAGTTAATTTAAGTCATGTTTTAATAACATAACATTTTCACCACTGACCACTTTGAACATGTTTGGCAGCAAGCATTATGTAATTAATTAAAGAAAAAAAAAAAAGAAAAAATAATAATATATATATATATATATATGTATTAAATTTTAATTAAATTAATGCATTTAGCAGACGCGACTTACAGTGCATTCAGACTATACATTTTTTATCAGTATATGTGCTCCCTGGGAATTGAACCCACAACCTTTGTGCTGCTAACGAATGTTAGCAGTGGTAGAGCATTCACAAAGAGCCACAAGAACAGAAATGATATCACGCAGCGCGTGCGTGCATATGTGTGTGTGTGTATATATATATATATATATATATATATATATATAAAAAAGGGGTGTAATCGTACACATATTCATACCGAAAATTCTCGCTACAGATCTTTCGGTTCGGTACTGAATGTGTACCGAACAAATACGGACCTTCATTGGAGACTTTCAGTTTTATATATTGTTACTTTTGATAAGAAACAAAGTCTCATCTTTAAAAATATGTCCTTTTTTCAAGAAATTCAAACAATTAATTCCGTCTTGGTGCTCTTTGGTGTGACGTGACAGATCAAAACGCCTCAGTTCAAAGGGCAGCGCGATCATCCTTTCCTCTTTACTACTAGTTTTAACGTGAAATACGTTAAAACTAGTAGTAAAGAGTTACAAAAAATCTGTTACGAAACAAGTTATGAGAGCCACTATGTAAATGAATAGGCTATATTTTAACAAAAATAATTTTTATAACTTAGAAGTTAATTTAACAACTGCATTATGTGCAATTTACATGTTTGCATACATTTTTTCTAAAGTTGAGGGTTAATTATTATGTTTAAAAATAAATAGTAATTAAATTTAAGTTTGGTCTCTGTTGTTAACTGTAAACTTATAGTAACATAAAAGGGCTCTCTATAGTTTAGAGCATAAGCTGAGGTAGATTTTTATCCCTATGAAAATTTAAATTATAATTAAATTTATTTTAAGAAAGAGCAATTTTTCAGTAAACCACTGTTTAATAAAAAAAAAAAAAGTTTGGTTTTCCCCCTGCTGTACTGAAATCATACCAAACCGTGACGTCAAAATGGAGGTACGTACCGAACCGTCATGTTTGTGTACCATTACACCCCTAATATATATGTATTTATATCACACAAAAGATGATTCAGACCAAGTTATTTCACAAAAAAACTGTTTCAGTGAAGCTCCATTATTGTAAAAGGCCAGTCACCTGTTTATCTGGATGGTTGATGTCGATGGGGGGCTCTGGTTCATCGCTCCACATGCGCTGATGGAATTGCTCCAGTAAAGGGCGCTGCAGCAGAGCGAGGGCCCCCCTCACATCCCCTCCACTCTGCCGCAGGGCTTCTTCACAGCGGGTCACATCATTAAAGCCCAGAGAGCCAAGCTCTTTTACCTAACAAACAAAAAAAGAGACAAAATGTCATATTTAGCAGGAATGCACCTATATTACAATTCTGGACGATACTGATAAGTCGATAATTATTTTCATGTTACGGACAACATTAATATTCAATATTATTTTCTTTAAATATATAAAAAATAAAACTAAAAACTATAAGTGAGTTCAGGCAACATTATAAAAATTATTTTAAAAATGACATTTAACAATGTTATTAAATTATTAGCGATTTTAAAGATTAGCTTTAAGTGAGTGTTTGATAATGGCGAAAGTAATCCAAATATAAAAGTAAGTGAAATGAGCATGCTTAATGAAATATCCAATATCAGCTGATTTTATAAATACTTGCTTATATACACAAATATGTACCTGTAAGAATAAAAAAACTGATCTGTTAAGCATTATATATTTTCTTATACTGTTGTAAATGTTAATAAAAGTTATTACCTAAAATAGCACCAAAACAGAGCTTGACTTAAAGTTTCTGCAAATTAAGCCGTCTTTCCCCCCACCATCCCTTCAATTTTAATGTTAGCATTTAAAGATACATCACTGACCATTCTGAAAGGTCTAGAAACACAAATGGAATTCCCCCAAATAAAAGCCATAGATGTTCAATCAGTATGAGCATCAGTATTACAGTGATTGGATGCACAAGAATAGTCTTTACTCACTTTAACTCTTCGGTTTCTGAAAGCCTGCCTGACAGCCTTCTCATTGTCTCCCCCTGCTGCCAGCCAGGCCCGTTTGGCTTCTGCTCTGGACAGGGGCACTGCATTGCTTTTTTGTCCATCCTGGCCATTGCTCCCCCCTAAACAGTTTGATTGTGTGTTGGGTTCTTGCTGACGGGATGCAGCCATCACACAGATCTCATCAAGCACATGAGGTAGCTCTGCTTTCAGCCAGTCATACGGCATTACATTACTGCTTCCTGACACACACATGCTGGTGTAAACCTCCTCTGGGCTCACTCCTTTCTTCTCTCCCGCCTGAAAAAAGGACATAGACAATGAGGATGCTTGTAAACTGTAGAGGATGATGCCCCGGCTACAACAACAAAAATATCAGACTTACACGAATGATCTGAATAAGTTTAAGTCCTTCCTCCCTCATCAGTCTTTGCCTTTTGAAATCAGGGTCCTCAGTGGGAATGACTTTAGGTGGGGCTGGTGGCGGTGTGACGTCCTTGACTGATGAGAGTGGGAGGGGCTTAGGGGGTGACAGAGCAGGCTCTGACCTCGAAAGACAACACATTTCGCATACAGGTGATGGTGTGTGGTTGACGTACGTACAAAACAGGCAAACCCACTGAATGACATAAGGAAAATAGGAGAAGTCAAAACAGGAACCTACATTTAGGATAAAACTCAGCATGAGACTTTCATTTCATTTGCAATGACAAATCAGAATATTCTCATCAGTTAATCAATGTTAAATAGATTATCTGTAACACCCACCAGCAGCACCAAAAAAGAACTGTGCTCTTTATTTAGCACACCATAATAACATTGGCTGATTATCAGTTTATGACTTCCTGATAAACAGTGGAGAATGGGGGGAGTCCGCCTGAAAATAGTCCACAGCACGCTCCCTGTGCAAGCAGGTGGTCACGTTGGTTATGTTGACGGAAGTTAGCCTATCAGGCGCTGCGCAATATCATTGCGCCTGCTGCACCCATGGTACGGCAGCAAAGGGTGTTGATTATTACGCCGGAATGAGAGTATAGTTCCTAGCCATATCGGCCTAGAAAATCGCAACTTTTCATTTTCCGTCGGTCTTAGTACACAATGTAACTACAGAAGAGTCAAGTTTTAAATAGGAAAAATATAGAAACTCTTTGGTCATTTTTGAGCGAGTTGCTAACGATCTAATCAGATTCAATGATCTATGCTAAGCTACAGTTAAAAGTGCTACCGCCAGACCCGGAGATCGGCTGAATTTTTCTTCAAAAATAGTGGAGTGTTCCTTTAATATATTGATTAATGACATTGTATTATACTATTAAACCACCCAAATATTTAGGCTACTACCTTCTAATTTCTGTTGTCAATGCACACTTTTTTTTGTTTGTTTTTTTTTTTAGCTTAGGCTACTGACCATTATGGATTAGTGTAGCCTGGATTAAAAAGTCTTGAACATAAAACAACAGGATAAAAATATAGTTGACCATGATTTCATGACTCTAGACACTTCTTTTTGAAGACAGTAGCATAATATAGTGAAATAATATATTCTTTAGCCATATAAATACAGTTGCCATGTGAGTGGGTAAAATTTACCCACTGGCGCTTTTAGGTATAAAGCGACCTCTGGCGGTTCTAGTGTTAAAACCGAATACACAGCTGCAATGTACTGATATTCACGTTCTCCCAACTGTTTACGTTCACTTAAGACGTAGTCAACTGGGAATACTCGTCAAAACGGACAATTCGACATAATTTTGTGTGTAATTCTCCATTCACCGCCAGACCCGGAGATCGGCTGAATTTTTCTTCAAAAATAGTGGAGTGTTCCTTTAATATATTGATTAATGACATTGTATTATACTATTAAACCACCCAAATATTTAGGCTACTACCTTCTAATTTCTGTTGTCAATGCACACTTTTTTTTGTTTGTTTTTTTTTAGCTTAGGCTACTGACCATTATGGATTAGTGTAGCCTGGATTAAAAAGTCTTGAACATAAAACAACAGGATAAAAATATAGTTGACCATGATTTCATGACTCTAGACACTTCTTTTGACGTAATCAACTGTGTTTACGTGAATACTCATCAAAACAGAATTTTCAACATAATTTTGTGTGTAATTCTCCATTCATGCGACACGAAAGAGTACTCGTGCGCTGTGAGACACGCTTTCTGTGTCTATGCTTCAGTGTCTGCATTCAGAAAACCGGACCGAATTGAGTTCTCTCTTGCGTCGTCAGATTTATCCATGTCTGCTTTTCTCTTACTCCCACATATTGACATTTTTGAACGTTTTATGCGACGTGCAGCAAGTGTATGTTAGCTTATGTCCCGCCTGTTCATATGTACGCATCTAACCTCCGAACCACGCAGCAGATTCGTTCTGAATGAATCTCTTCCCAAATCATCCCTCCCTAACATTTTCATCTCGTTTTTATTCGATGATGAAAATGTCAATAGATTTACGTCATAGTTTTTGTCATTCAAAAAGAGTTTTAGTTCGTTATCGTCTCTTTGTCGTCGGTGAAAAAAATGAACACTGGTCCATTCGAATGAAATGACACTATCGGATGAGAACAAAACTGAACTGAATTGAGCTGAGCTGGATGAAACTATTGTCTGTTGTAGAGCAGCTTTTAGCTGAATCAAATTAGTTTCATAATTTATTAATTTGGCAACATCAACACTGTGTCAGATTTATCCATGTCTGCTTTTCTCTTACTCCCACATATTGACATTTTTGAACGTTTTATGCGACGTGCAGCAAGTGTATGTTAGCTTATGTCCCGCCTGTTCATATGTACGCATCTAACCTCCGAACCACGCAGCAGATTCGTTCTGAATGAATCTCTTCCCAAATCATCCCTCCCTAACATTTTCATCTCGTTTTTATTCGATGATGAAAATGTCAATAGATTTACGTCATAGTTTTTGTCATTCAAAAAGAGTTTTAGTTCGTTATCGTCTCTTTGTCGTCGGTGAAAAAAATGAACACTGGTCCATTCGAATGCAATGACACTATCGGATGAGAACAAAACTGAACTGAATTGAGCTGAGCTGGATGAAACTATTGTCTGTTGTAGAGCAGCTTTTAGCTGAATCAAATTAGTTTCATAATTTATTAATTTTGCAACATCAACACTGTTATTGAACTGAATTGAATCAACACTGAACTGACTTGAGATGAATAACAACCATCCTGCCTTCTGTAGAGCTGCTAATAGCTGAACTGAACTAATTTCATAATAAATGAACTTTACACACTTACTGAATGGAACTGAATCAACACTGAACTGACTGGAGCTGAATAATGACACTATTGTCTTTTTTAGAGCTGCTTTACAGCATAATTTGAATTTGTCTCATTTAAAGAAGTTTGTGTAATTGATTCTGTTATTTTGCCGTTTATTACTGTGAAACTGACTGAAAACAATATTGTATAACGCGCTATAGCTTGTAGTGGTCGACTACTTTTAATTTAGCATTTTTTAAATATCGGCCGATAAATTTTCCTGTTTGGCCGATGCATTCGAGGTGGGACTTTTATTTTGATGGCGCTGACAGCGGCATTCACATTCTCCCTCTTGTTCGCTGTTGTCGTTAACAGTTCTGTCTAATACGGGCAGAAATCTGTCTAATAATCAGATAGAACGGTTAAACAAAGGAATTAAAATGTATACAAAAAGTATTATAACAATTGCTTTTAATAATGACACTATTGTCTTTTTTAGAGCTGCTTTACAGCATAATTTGAATTTGTCTCATTTAAAGAAGTTTGTGTAATTGATTCTGTTATTTTGCCGTTTATTACTGTGAAACTGACTGAAAACAATATTGTATAACGCGCTATAGCTTGTAGTGGTCGACTACTTTTAATTTAGCATTTTTTAAATATCGGCCGATAAATTTTCCTGTTTGGCCGATGCATTCGAGGTGGGACTTTTATTTTGATGGCGCTGACAGCGGCATTCACATTCTCCCTCTTGTTCGCTGTTGTCGTTAACAGTTCTGTCTAATACGGGCAGAAATCTGTCTAATAATCAGATAGAACGGTTAAACAAAGGAATTAAAATGTATACAAAAAGTATTATAACAATTGCTTTTATATTATTAGTAATAGAAAGGCAAACATTAGAATACTTTCTTGTTTGCAGTCAGCATTTAGCAAATACGCATTTATATAATTTAAACAAATCTTTGAATGACTAATGAACATTTAATTTCACAAAGCTTGCAAACTTAATCGGATCCAGTTGTGAGATCTTGTGAAGTGTGCATTTGTATCCTGCATGATCGCGTGTTCTCTGCGTGATGGTCGATCCATGCGAATGTAAAGCGCACAAGTGGAGAGTTCAGCTTCACTAGAGATGCGTGATCGACAAACTTTAAACTCGTGATTTCAAATTATGCTGCGCTTTATGCATTTGCCCACTGCCATATTCATGTCATTTCCACTGTGTGCTGCATGTAAAATGAGTGTTACCTTGGCAATATTTGGAAAAAATATGATTCCAAAATCCCAATGCACACAAATTTCCCAGAATACTGAGTGCCCTGTTGGTTACAGTGTTTACTTCTATTTTTTATGAAATATTTATTTATTTGTGGAAAATACTTTGTCATCTAATACATAAGTATGTTTATTTAACTCATTTACTTTTTAATCCATTTTCAAATGATTTCAAATTTCTTAAACATTAATTAAAATAAATAAAATTATATCGGCTTTATATCGGCCACCATGCTTCCCAAGATATCGGCATTGGCATCGGCTGTCAAAAAACAATATCGGTCGACCACTACTAGCTTGATTTGACTTATTGGTACATAAAATATACACTTCACCTATCGGTGTAAACAAAACTGTAACAAAATTGCATATGGAATGTAGTGGATCATGGCACCTGGCTGTCCATTAGTCCTGCAGTAGAGGGAGTCGGACGTGAGGGTGCAACAGGAGGTTTGGTGGCCAGACGAGGGCGCTCACACACCTCACATAGAATGCTACTGCCTGCATTCACCACAGTGCAGCTTTTACATTGCCACTCTAATTGAAGGAAGTGATGGACAAAAAAACAGAATTTAGATGTTTATGTCATGTCGAATTATCAAAAGTCAAACAGGACTGATGGCCTATTTAATGTGGAAAAAGTGAGAGTAAACTGAAAAAAAGGATGTACAGACTAACCAGATATTGTAGAGGGCTGAGATGGCTCTTCCTGTAAAGATGGAGCAGCAGAGGACAGGCGGGGTCGATCACAGTTTTCACACAAAACCTGCTGCACTGTATTTACTGTAGTGCAGTATGAACACTGCCATGCTGACAATGATGAGCTAAGGAAAAAAGAAATAAAGACATACAGGTGTTCAACAAAATCCTCTACACAAATATGTTCTCTCAACCTTTCAGAGTAACAGTGCTAACCTGAGCCGTTTTGTGGCTTTTGAGGAAGTCACAGGAATCCTAATGTGTGTGGAACGCCCTGAATGGGAGTGATACAGCCTGTCACATTCTATGCACAGCCGCTGAGTACAGGTGGGACAGTGAGCAGACACCGGAAATATACCACATATGGTGCAATTCTCTGCAGAGCAATTCAACGGAATAGAATGGAAATGATAAAGGCGGACACTCAAAATTAAATATATTCTTTAAAAGGAAAGCCAGGGTTGGTAAATGTGACATGCTTACCTGTTTGTTTAAAGGGCACTAGAGAAGAGAGAGAAAGGGCTGGACTGAATGGAGATTTAGGCTGAAAAGGAGTCGATGCAGGCGAGGGAGTTTGTTTTTCCCATGGACTTTCACTAGGAGAGAAGGCAACTGCATCTGTGCTGATTCCCTCATCCTGTATAGACATTATATGGACACTGTATTTACGCAACTTGCAAAAAAGCTAACAAATCTAATAGAAGCACTTCCCCTTATACAGACACTACCATTCAAAAGTTTGAGGGTGGTAAGAAGCCTTATGTTCACCGAGGCTGCATTTATTTATCAAAAATACAGCAAAAACAGTAATATTGTAAAAAAAATTGTTAATATTTATGAAATAAGTGTTTTTATTTTATTTTAATATATTTTAAATTTTAATTTATTAATGTGATAGCAAAGCTGAATTTTCAGCAGCCATTACTCCAGTCTTCAAGGCCACATGAACTTTCAGAAATCATTCTAATATACTGATTTTGAGCTAAAGAAACATGTCTTATTATTGAAAACAGTTGTGCTGCTTAATATTTTTGTGGAGACTGCAATACATTTTTTATTGATACTTTTTTTGTTGTTTCTTTAGTAACATTATAAAAGTCCTTATTGTCATTTTTGATCAATTTAATGTACCCTTGCTGAATAAAAGTATTAATTTCTATGAAAAAATAAAATAAAATAAAATATCTTACTGACCCCAAACTTTTGAATAGTAGTGTATATATCAATTTTGGCCTGCTATTTTGATGTTGGAAAAAGTGCATGGACAAGTTATTATAACCATATAAATGATCAGACAAATTTAATTAAGTGCGGAATGGAAACAAACTGTACCTGCACACTGAGGGAGGGAATAAGTCTTTCAAAAAACTCTGGATAAGGATGGGTACCCTACAGAAAAGAGACAGACTCTATGTGAGCTGAATGGTTATTTGTGATTTTGTGATTAACCCACTAAGTGCTTATACTTTACAGCCTCAGACCTTGATTAGCATGTCCAGCTCCATACGGAGGCACATGACCTCAAGAGTCACTGATGCCACCTTCCCAACATCTGGCTGGACAACATCATCAGGAAAGCTCAAGCCGTCTTGCTGCTGATTGGTGTAGCCGTACAGGTTGAGTACTGCTCTGCCACCCTGAAAGAGGAAGATAAACAACAGTAACCACAGATATTTGTATATGGTTCATACAAAAGGCCTCATCATCTCATCCACCACACACCTGAATAGAATCTACAGTGGTCCTGAAGACAGGATTGTTGTACTTTACTGTACGCCAGTACTTCGGCCTGTTGGGGTTGGTAAGATTGGAGCCATACTTCTCCAAGATGTTAAGAGCGGTGGAAAGTTTCTGCAGGAGGCTGAGGGACTAAAAGGATCAGAAGATATTAATGTACAACAGAATAGTCTGAACAAGAATACATTACAACCCAGAAACAACAACAGTTGGCAAAAATGAACTAGGAAGTCATACAAATGAGTGGAAAGCGAACAAATTCTTGCGAAACACCAGCGGAAACAGTGACAGATTACCCAGTGCTATGTATTAATATGCGCTTTATGTCAATCATTCACATGGCCAGTATAAACCCATACATTCCCAATTTATACGGTCAGGCCCGTAACCACCATAGACAGTTCCCCCCCAATAATCGGATATGGACACATTGTCCCCCTCATCAATATTTGATATTATTGATGCTGCTCTGCTGCACTCCATTACACACCACTCTGCCTGTTGCTAGAATGATTTAATTTTTTTTTAAAAAGATATATATTTTTAAGCAGATATATATTTTCATGACACTTCAGGTTTAACAGAGAAAGTGCAAGGTAGGATATAAAAGTAGCTAAACATTTGATAACTGTTCTATGACAGAGATGTTAAACAACTAACAATCATATCCATTAATGCAAACTACATTAGATTTTTGGTCAAATTTCACCATATAAGTGATTACTGTAATTCATAATTGAGTACAAGAAACATTAATCAAGCCATTTTCAACATATTAGGAACATGAGTAAGAGCAAATGTGTGCATATTTTAAAATTAAATATTATTTGCAAATATTTTAAATTGATTACAATAAATTCTAATTATTTTATGTTTTTTTTCTCTAATCCTTTAAAGCCTCTTCATTATTTAATTTCTTTAAATAAAAAGGACTATTACCACCCCCCTTTGTCCCCCAATCTTCAAGACATGGTCATAACCTTGTATGCGCTCACTATGTGCAAATGGTTAACAAGTCAAATGTTTGCTTCCTGCTGTATAATCATACACTCTTTGGGCTGCTGATGAAAATGAATCATTACACCAGCTCTCACCTCCCTCCTATTATTTCCATTACTGTTCTCCGTCAGCATGCTTTCAGCAGCGATGTAGCAATATTTGCTGGAGGGCGGGAGGGGGATGTTGGCCATGGCTGCCACCCCTGCCCTCATCTCCTGGGCAGAACCTGGAGTAGATAAGCTGCCTTCTGCATTCACCCTCACCTCCTCCAGCTGATCACTGAGAGAGGCCATAGCTGAAAGTGAAAGTCATCAAAGCGGTTTAAAACACACAGTGCCCGAATTATTCATTGTCTCTTATGCCAAAGCATCAGAAAACAAACTAATTACACTGTAGTTGGGATTACAGTTAAAGTTTAGTGGCATTAGACAAAGTGGCTTACTGATTTATTGTGTTTGAAGCATAAACAAGAGTCAACAACACGTTTGTTGATTAACTTGTCAAACATACGGAGTCATTTGATCGTTTATTTGCAGTCAATGCTAATATTTTACATACATACATGACTGTCACATCATTTAAATAACCTGTATTGATGTTTTTACACTAAATTCACATTTGCTAATACGCTAGCTGTCTGGTGAAACTGGAAAGTGAAACCATAACAACTCACATGAAGCTGTTAGCTAAGTCTTTCTTCAAAATAAATCTCAGTTTCTAGATAAACGGATGTTTTACTGTCTTCGTTGTTATTTCTCTAACCTGGACGGACAGACGTGTTTATATACTCAAATCAAACCCCCACCCATTGGCTTAACTTGCCCGCTGATATTGAATAATCATACGCTAGCAGGCTAACGCTTAGGATTTATAACCAAAACACTGGTCAGCGACATTACAGAGAACCGTCTAGATGTGGCTCTGTAAACACTTTTTAATCAACTCAACTGTCTGAAGTATTTTATGAGCTGTCGATAGATATGAACATACTCACTCACCGTGTATTGACAGAGGAGCAGCGCTCTCATTCACTCGTACGTAAAACTGAAACAATCATCTACCCGCATAGAGGCGCTGTGAGGAAGCGCATTTCAACAAAACAATTCGTGTAAATTAATAAATGGGTAACGTTAGATTAGTGAAAAAGGAATGAATGACTGCCAGGGAGAGTTACATAAATGTAAACAGGTTTCTGCCTGTTCCTGTGAGTAACACTCAAAACCTTTCAGAGAGGGCCAGCATGGGTCGGCGTCGTTGCATACGATGCAAAAGGAGCACCCCATGGAAGTGCCAGGAATGTGATGTGGGACTATGTTTGCAGTTAGACAGGAACTGCTTCAGAGAGCACCACATTTAAATGACTGGATTGAAGGATCCAAAAACGCCTGGAGAACTGGGGTAAAACAAATGTCTCCTGAGTGAAAACTGTGCAATCTAGTGTCCCAAAAAGACTTGTATATATGTATTATAGTTCCTTTTTCAAGACTGAGGCATTAGATTCTTTCGTTCATGAGTTTTCAGATTTTTTCTAAATAAAAAGCAGTTAAATTTCTTCCCGTTTTTTAATTTTTTGTCTATTTAAATTCTATTTACTAACTCACCACACACAATAATGTACAATAACTGTAATTTCCTGAAAGCCAATCATTTTCTGAAAAAAATGACACCTTACACTTGAAGATACCACATTGTGTTATAATTTTATACTCAAAAAAACAAAATGAGTGAAAACGGCCTATTTTAGCTTTAGGTTCTAAAGGGTTAAGTTTAATAGTAATATAAAAACAGATGACTCTGTGTGGAATCTGAAGCAACACTAAAATAATAATAATAATTATTATTCAGTTTTTTATTATTCTAAATGAGAAACGTAAGAGGCAAGTGCGTATGATAATACAATCCGACGTCAGTGCTTTGCTGAATATAGGGCCAATTGGATACACCTGCTGACTGCCATTTGATTGCGTTAATGTGGATCACTGGAAACGAGCATGAAACCTATACCTCTGAAGTGCAAAGATTTATTGCCATGCTCTATGCACATTTAAGTCCACTTTGTCACTTTCACATCTAAGGTTAGTCATTTTTGCTGTCGTAATATAAAATATGCTACGGTATTAATAGCATGCCTGTCCATTTTAAAATGATCTTGCCCTTTACTGATCTTGTTTGTTTGGTCTAATCTCTCATGGTTTTGAGTGTGGCACGTTTGTTTTACAGTATTGCGGTGTTTTGTATCCTGTGCTGTCTTCGTCTAAATGGAAGGTAATCTTCTCAACCCATTACTTTGTTTCTAGCGCCAAGCTCTACTGTTTGAGCGACAGGGACACCGTAATAACAATCGGGCAAATGCTAATTATGTATAGTGATCTGGCAAATGCTATCTTATTTTGTTTTTAGGCATAAATAACACTTCACAATCAATGGGAGTTGGGCAACCTCACCATCCAGTAAACCACACCAGACCCTTTTTCTATGTTCAGCCACCATCTCAGCCTTATCTAATGTATCAATGGCCCATGAATCCATATGGCCACTATGGCTTTCCAGGGCCAGGTAAGTTCAGTCTTTTGAGGCATTGCTTATTGTAGATTATCACTTAATTAACCACAACAATTTATTTTTCTTTGTTCCAGCTTTGCAATTTGGCCGTCCATATGTGGCCCCTTATCAGTTTATGCAGTATCCTGGGTATGTGATCCCACATGCGCCCATGCAGCCTATCGATTACAGAAGAATCAACCCCCACTTCCCCTCCGTTGCATCCTACGATTTGCGTGTCCGCCACCACTATCAACATGCAGGGATGCATCGGGAGACCGTCTGTTCTGAGGTCCAAACAGATCCTAGTGATTCAGTCAACAAACTGTTAGACAAAATTAAGAGTCTGAAGGCCAGTGAACAAGGTGGTGACAAGGGGCTTAACACTGTGGTCTCCTCTACCCCTGATGTAGTACAGGGAGAGAAACTGACCTGTTTAAATGAAGACTCTAAGTTAGAGCTCGCCTCTCAGGAAGGTAAGGAGGAACAGGTCAATCAGGTCACAAGGACCACAACCTACAGCGACTCTGCGTATGATGCTGAATCTAGCCAGGGTAGACTGGATGAATGTGTGCTATCAGATGTGCTACCCCTTGACAGTTCCTCTGTCCATGAGGATGCTGATGATGATGAGCAACAAAGTGTTCCTGATGAAACCTGCTGCCAAAGTGGAATGTCAACAACCAGTGCAACTGGCAATGTGTTCTGTAGTGGTGTCAAAGGCACTGCTGATCCAACAGAGAACCTCGATTTGGAGAAACCAGGTGATGAGCTGGTACAGAATATTGCATCTACTGATGCTGCTGCGGTTATGGAGCCTCTTATAAAGCTCTCTGAAGACTTTGACCTGCCGTATCAAATCCTTCGCTTGCCCTGCAATAAGACAACAACTGGCCTCAGTCTTGAACGAGAGATTGATCCACTTGTTTACTTTGATTCTCCATCTACGCTGCTGCCTCCACAAAACTATCTGTCCTCAATCGGCAGTGCATATTCCTACAGCTACTACCCTCAGGTGACCCAAGAGCGCCAGAGTGTCCTGAGTCCGTCCATAGATGAGCTCTCTTCCAGAGATGAAATGTTCTCCACTGATGTGGAGGATCTCGATCTCAATCCGGGGCATGTGTATGTTGGTGGCGGCAAGCTGGCTGAAACCAGTGACGTTCCTGTTCGCTCCAGAAAAGAGCTCCTGAGTGTGGAGAAAACTTGCCCTGTCTGCCAGAAAATGTGCGTGTGCTGCGGCTCAAGCTTGCAGGATGAAGTAGGAATGTACAAAGTGGCCGAACACGGCCATCTTGAGCGAGATGAGGCGTCTGATCAAGACTGCGAGTATGACCTCAACGCAGAGGTGCGAAGTAACTGCGAGTCACCGAGAATGCCCAAGAGGAAGTGTTGCAGTAGGCATGTGCTGCCCTCTTGTGGGCATCAGTGTGCCAAACACCGGCACAGGAAGCTGCTGTGTGAAGGCCAAGAGAGCTGTGATCTCCGTGAGCAGGCTCGTGTGCATCCCAAAGGAGAGTGCTGTGAGGAGTGTGGCTCTCTGGCTAAAGCAGATAAGAGAATTCAAAAGGGTACCTTGTGCAGGCCTTGTATTGGTAAGGTTTTTTTTTTCTTTTTCTTTTTTGAATTTGCATTTTAATGCTGTCACAAGGTGGTCCGCTCATGCAAAAAATATTTTTAGAGCGACAATGGAAAGAGGGTGTTGTCTCTGACCAAGAGAATTGGGTGAGCTATGGTGCCAAACCAGGATCTTTGAGGCAAGTTAGTGGACCTCAAGATCAAGGTAGGACATTGATTTAAATGTCCTATTTAATGGGGAAGGGGGAACGTTGATGTGTTTGCCTACTTGGATGTCTAAAGTTGTTCAATGCAAGTGACCAGTATGGCTTGTCTTTTAAACTGTTCTTTTTGATTTGTAAAGGGAGGACTCCTTTGAGAAGGCCGACTTGTAAGACAGTCCACCAGCAAAGGCCAAGAAGTGATTATGATGAGACCCAATTTGCCTACTGCCAGAGAGGCAGAGGTGAGTTTAGGGTTTTAAACCAGTCAAATTGTTTTGGAATCTCATTTTTATTTGTGCAACATCTGTCCCATCAGGTGCTATGAAGAAAAGGGGCACGAGATACTAAACCACGATGCACTGCTGTAATACTTAAACGTATTACCTGAAACTTGTGTAAAATGCACTTCACTATGAATGTACACATGGACACTGTTCTTGACTGTATGTAACTAAAGTATGACAGTGATGTACACCTTGCTGCATTTCCAGTGCTCCACTTAACTTTTTTCTATTTTGGGTGTTATGCATTCATCTTAAAATTATACTGAGACCGCTCTCACTGGACCAGGCCTTGACCTATGTTTAGAAGGCCTTTTTTTTTCTCATGTGGCTTGATCTGGGAGGTGTGGATCTTGTCTGGTGTGTAAGGGCTCGGAGTCTTTACGTGGTCAAGGACTGGCCCACTGTGACCAGTTTCAAATGCTGGGCACTAGAGATGCAGCTGGTTTGAGGGTTGCTGCAGGGGGGGGGAAGGGGGGGAAGGAGGATGAGAAATAAAGTGGACAGTTTGGCCACTCTTAGTCCAGATGTCTTTTGTTTTTATTACAGTGCTATTTTTATACATCTGTGTAATGCAGAAAACTCCACCTACCTGTACAGTGTCATTAAAGTCTCAGCATTGCACTTGACCCGTGTCCAGTAATTGTTCTTTTTATTTAATAATAAAATAAAACACATCTGGCTGCATGTTTGCTGTTGTCCATGTGGTATTTTTATTTGCAAGGGCCAGATCATTAGTGTGGACTTCTTATAATTCCAGCTTCTCAGTTGGTGGTGAACTTTTAAAATGGAAACTAGTCTATAGTGTAGATTTTTCTGCCTTCGCCCAAATATACTAAAGAGTGGCCTTTTTAAAAAAAAATCTGTATTGTAAATTTTATTTTTTTTGTTTAATCCTGTCACATCTGACAATTCTAATTTTTAATAGTGTTCCTCAATGGCTATGCTAAATCCGACTGACCATGTTTGTGTTTGCAGGAGTTACACTATTACTAAATCTGAGGTACCACATTAGCTCAAATGTCACAAGCTTCTCAGATTCTCCATCTGATTTTATATTTCAGCATTGCAATACGTTGTCACTTTGAATGACAGCTTTAACATTTAAAAAGTCCGTTTGAGGGCTTCCTCTAAATGTAATCGGATTTTGCCTAGAGGACTGGTATAGAAATGGATAAACAACGAACTTGTCAGTTTCCGTACCCACTGTATGTCACCCCCTTACCATGATCATGTGTTTAGGAATAATTCGTCTTACACCGATTGAGAGATGCACAAAGTGATAAGCATTTCTCATGTTACATCAACTTGTATGTATCATACAGCAAAAATGTATCCATTGTGCAAAAAATATTGTTTCTGGCTAAAATATTTCAAATATATGCTAAATGCATGTTGTTAACCGTGCAGATTTTTCAAACCGAAAATGTTTAACCTTACAAAATGTGCTTCAAGAGGCAGAAAGTCCTTTTCTAATTTTAAAATACAATTTGAGCAAATGCAAAATGTGTTTTTAAAATGTAAAATATAAATGTATTTAGACAAAGTATGGCCATGCATGTTTGGTTTAAGATTTAAATTAATTAAATAAATCTAGAAAATTGTAGCTGTGGTGGAAAATGTCAGATGCATTGGGGGAATGTGTATTATTAGAAAATGATACAAATGATATCACTATTTTCAGACATGCTGTTTTCCTGATTGGTTTATGAAATGTGAATAATGTACAGCAAAATTACTTTAGACTGGTATTTTGCATTAGTAAATATTTTTTTTTGCCATTTTATGTTTATTTATTTCACAAAATATTGTTGCATATTCCCCAATGAACTTCCCTCTTGATATGATGCAGTTTACCAGTAACATGGGGAAAGTTTATTTATTTATTTATAGACATATTCGGTGGCCATATGTTATAGATTCATTCTATTTTAAAATCAAAAATTTTAAACATGAAAATGTTATTAGGTGTTTTCGTTTCACCTCTAATTTCTCTTCATTTAGGGCACAACTTAAAAACGGGCACATTTAACCTCATTCTCCCTACTTTAGGAATGGATTCTCTTACACCGATTGAGAGATGCACAAAGTGATAAGCATTTCTCATGTTACATCAACTTGTATGTATCATACAGCAAAAATGTATCCATTGTGCAAAAAATATTGTTTCTGGCTAAAATATTTCAAATATATGCTAAATGTATGTTGTTAACCGTGCAGATTTTTCAAACCGAAAATGTTTAACCTTACAAAATGTGCTTCAAGAGGCAGAAAGTACTTTTCTAATTTTAAAATACAATTTGAGCAAATGCAAAATGTGTTTTTAAAATGTAAAATATAAATGTATTTAGACAAAGTATGGCCATGCATGTTTGGTTTAAGATTTAAATTAATTAAATCTAGAAAATTATAGCTGTGGTGGAAAATGTCAGATGCATTGGGGGAATGTGTATTATTAGAAAATGATACAAATTATTTCACTATTTTCAGACATGCTGTTTTCCTGATTGGTTTATGAAATGTGAATAATGTACAGCAAAATTACTTTAGACTGGTATTTTGCATTAGTAAATATTTCTTTTGCCATTTATGTTTATTTATTTCACAAAATATTGTTGCATATTCCCCAATGAACTTCCCACTTGATATGATGCAGTTTACCAGTAACATGGGGAAAGTTTATTTATTTATTTATAGACATATTCTGTGGCCATATGTTATAGATTCATTCTATTTTAAAATCAAAAATTTTAAACATGAAAAGGTTATTAGGTGTTTTCGTTTCACCTCTAATTTCTCTTCATTTAGGGCACAACTTAAAAACGGGCACATTTAACCTCATTCTCCCTACTTTAGGAATGGATTAATTTTAAGTCTGTTAAATGACTATTTCTTTAGTTCTTTATTGTCATGCATTTTCTTATTTTACAGAGCTATTTCATTGTTATGGGGAAGGATATTCCTGAAGACTGCTTTTATTTCCAGCTGTGCTCATTGAATGATTTGAAACCCTGCGTGGATCTGTGCTAAACCCATGGTAAGAATCACTCCGTGACGCAATCAAGTCATTTCACATAATCAAAAAATTAATCATAGATAATTAACCAATTAAGCCGTTTTGTTTTTAAGTTCACAATACACTATTTAACCTCAGTGTTCTTCACCATTGGTGTCTAGGGTGATTGTGTCAGTCCTAATCCCTGCTGATTTGTTTACTTATCCAGGGCATCTACATCTAAGTCAAGCCTGACAAGAATTTAGATCCAGCTCACAGCTAGCGCATAATAAATTAACCCCTCTGCCTGCATGTGTATGTGCCAAAAATTTTCCACTGGATTAAATCCTTGACAGTCTGTTTTGATGCAACATATTTGTCTCGCTTCCACAGGAAGAGCTTGACGTGTATTAAAGCACTGACGGCCCCATCAACACCGAGTGGTTGACAGAGAAGTGCATTGACGATACAAATCGGCAAGGATACCTTCATCGAAGCAACCTAGAAGCCACATTTTATGGACGATGGACACCTTGTCCCAGAGCTCCATGCTTGAGTGCCAAATCTGTTTCAACTACTTCAGCCAATGGCGCCGTCCCAAACTCCTGCACTGCCAGCATACCTGCTGCTCCGTGTGTCTGAGTCAGATGAGGCTCAGCCAGAGAGAGCTCCGCTGTCCGTGGTGTCGTTGTGTGACGCAGATCCCCGGCGGCCTTTCGGTCTCATATCTTCCAGACGACCCGGAAGTACTCTCCATTATCAGTCTGTCTCACTCCTCTGAACACACTCCCATCTTTATACACTTACCCAATAGTAGCTGCTACCTGCTGCCTGTCCCTTTGGACACAGATGGGGCGTTGCTGCCTGGAGAACCGACATGCCGATTTGGTCCTAAAAGCATTGGGGTGTTAAACGTCTCTGATGGCCGGAGCCTTGTGCTGGGAGATGACACGGGTGAGGAGGAGATGGAGGAGGTGGCGGTTAAGACCACAGCATGGACAGGGGTTTGCACTGTACTACTTGTGGCATTCATTTTGATTTTTCTGCTGGGTATCGTGTTGCATAACATGTCCTGTGTGTCCAAGCGCTTCACTATTATTTCCTGCGGATGAGACGGATTCATCAAATTCAATTGTAGAGGACATACCAATATGGCTCAGTCTCTTATGTGATTGTGATTATGTACATCACGTACCTATGGTGACTATATAATATACAGTAAATGAGCAAAAGGGAATGAAAGAAGTCAAGGGCACAATCTATGCAATCTGTGGTATTTCAAAAGTCTTTGAAAGCCCTGATTCATTCATTCTTAGGGAATTTGTTCAATTAATGTGCAGAAATGTCATTAAAGAATCTAACAGTATTGACTCCATGTATTTGCATGTTTTGTATGTACCTGAGGGAAATTAACTTGGTCTCTAATACTACAGTAGAGTTGTGCGTTATTGACAGTCTGTAGGAGTTGTGCAGTTTGTGACCGAACAATAAAATGTAGACATGAAATTACATATTACTACGTAGCTGCTCTGCCTTTAAATAATGTTCATTGCTGTATGTGTTTGATTTGATGTTTCAACTAAGCAGTTTCTTTACATTTTTCTTACTAATGTGTTTTGACTTTGCCTTTTGATTAAATGAGTGAAATCAAACATCAGTCTCATTAAAATTAATATGATAAGAACCTTTTGACTCTTCTACATGCTGCACAAATACACTACTGTTCATGTCTGGGGCCAGAGATTGTTTTGGAAAGAAATTAATACTTTTTTTTTTTTTTTTTTTTTTTCAGCAACGATGCGTTAAATCGATTAAAATCAATAGTGAAGACTTTTGCGTAAAAAAAAAATTCTAAGAAATGTTATTTTTTAACTATATTCATCAAAGAAAACAAACATATTATAGTTTCCAACATTGATAAGAAATTTTTTTTTTTGAGCACCTAAAAATTATTAGAATGATTTCTGAAGGATCATGTGACCGTGAAGACTGGAGTAATGAATGACTGCTGAAAATTCTTTAAAAAAAATAGATTAAGAAAACTGTTATTTTAAATTATAATATTTCATAATATTCCAGTTTTTACTATTTTTTCAGCAACGATGCGTTAAATCGATTAAAATCAATAGTGAAGACTTTTGCGTAAAAAAAAAATTCTAAGAAATGTTATTTTTTAACTATATTCATCAAAGAAAACAAACATATTATAGTTTCCAACATTGATAAGAAATTTTTTTTTTGAGCACCTAAAAATTATTAGAATGATTTCTGAAGGATCATGTGACCGTGAAGACTGGAGTAATGAATGACTGCTGAAAATTCTTTTAAAAAAATAGATTAAGAAAACTTATTTTAAATTATAATATTTCATAATATTCCAGTTTTTACTACCAAATAAATGCAGCCTTAATTAGCATAAGTGACTTTTTTTCAGAAACTTAAAATCTTACTGGCTCCTAATGTGTTAATGGTAGTATGCATCACAGATGATTTTGAAAAAAATTTTTTTTTTTTTTTTTTTTTTTTTCAGCAACGATGCGTTAAATCGATTAAAATCAATAGTGAAGACTTTTGCGTAAAAAAAAAATTCTAAGAAATGTTATTTTTTAACTATATTCATCAAAGAAAACAAACATATTATAGTTTCCAACATTGATAAGAAATTTTTTTTTTGAGCACCTAAAAATTATTAGAATGATTTCTGAAGGATCATGTGACCGTGAAGACTGGAGTAATGAATGACTGCTGAAAATTCTTTAAAAAAAATAGATTAAGAAAACTGTTATTTTAAATTATAATATTTCATAATATTCCAGTTTTTACTACCAAATAAATGCAGCCTTAATTAGCATAAGTGACTTTTTTTCAGAAACTTAAAATCTTACTGGCTCCTAATTTGTTAATGGTAGTATGCATCACAGATGATGTTATTAGTAACTTCTTGGACATTAAATTAGATTATTACATGTACATCTAAGCAAAGTCCCTTTAAGGGTGTTCTATAGTCTTTGATCTAAGTAATAATAATTTTCTGAATACCACATTTGTACATTGATATCCAAATGTGAGAAAAGCTCTGGCCCAGTGAGGCTCACCCATCTGCATCAAAAGCTGTCAACACCACCCATCACACTTGATTGATGACAGTAGTTTTGCTTTTTTTCCCCACCTATTGTTCTTGGAATGCTATAAAAAGAGCACACATCTCTGTTGTATGCAATTTATTGTTTCACATTGTGATGTGGATTGATGCTTTTACAATTTTGGGACAAATCAATCACTACACAAACTGGGGTTGAACGACGTCAGATTTTTTTTAAAGGCGACATTTATATGATGAAAGTCGAGTCGATGTCGACTAGTTGCTGATGACGTCACTAATGAACAAATAAGCCTGAACCTTGAGCTGAGATTTGGACATTTTGTGCACAGTGCTGCCCACATGGCTATTAATTGCTCCTATAACAGCTCATTTTTATCAGTTCTTTTGTCTTTGGGTCGTTTTATTTCTCACAGATTTCTGCTCGTTTTAAATCATATACAGATAAAGTAGCACAGTAAAGATTACATTTATATGAATGCAGTGAGAGAGTGATTGCATGTGTGATTAATTCCACCTGGCAGCGTCTCTTTAATAATAGTGAAGCTGTGGGTTTCAGTTAGGCTACTAAGAAATATATGCTATAGAACTTTTCAGTTTCTGAGCTATTTTATCGAGAAATCACAGGACAGTGTTGACGATACATTTCCGCACTACTCAATGATTCTGTGTGCCGGGCCAGCCCAACCTTTATGGGGCCTTAAGCAGAATTTTATTTGGGGGCCCCTCGGTGCTGCCAATACAACTGATTATTGTCTATGCTTGATTATTCGCACACTATAAATCTAACACACCCATTATAAATTGTATTTGTTGTAGCTGCTAGTTGCTTAGGCCTACATCATACAATGTCTGCCTGGCATGTTTTACCCTTCTACGATGTTTAATTGTAACAGTAGCAAACCCACAAGAGGTCAGGTGTTAATTTGCACTTTAACATTGAAAGTATTATCACACTGTGGAGCGCATTCGGAGTATGCATTTATTTGTCATTTTAAATGTTTGTAAACTGAGCGTAATTTCTTATTCTGTTGCGCCCTATATAGGATCAGTGACTAGTCAACGTCAAGCTTAAAGTGTCATGGCAGAGCATTAAAGTCGAGTCGACTAGTCAATTAGTCTGTGCAACCCCTAAACCAAACTGTATTGAAGACTCACAAATTATTATGAATGATCAGTTTTTCATTAAGGATGTACATATTTTACATGTTGTACTCTTAATTAACAGGTTTGACTGATTCAGCTACACCCTTCTATCACAGCTGCATAAACTCAAGCATACAGTCATGCTGTCTCCTTAGCCAAACATTTACAGCAGAACACGCTGTACCTTTTCTGTTCCAGCATGACTGTGATGTTGCCATTCCACAACAATTAAATCTAGCAGAGTTATTATTTAAATTTTTTTTTAAATGTGCATTTATAACACTATACTTTGTGTAGTTTTACTCTGGAATTAAACTGCAAAAAATAGTCACCTTAGCTGCAATGGTGTTTCTAATGCAGCTGAGGAAGATATGACAGTTAAAATTGAGACAAAAGTCATTATGACATAAAAAGTAAAAATTATGACAAAACCAGTAATGAGATAAAATCATCATGACAAAAAGTTGAAATTATGAGAGAAATAAACATGTGACTTCGACTTTGTATGACTGTTTCTTATTCATCAATTTCAGCTTTCTATGTAATAATTAAAAAAATATTCTTGTGTGGAAATGGGCTTCCATGTGTACTTCCATAGACTGCTACATTTAATTCCACATTTCAAACTCAGAAATGTGAAAAAGCTACATGTAGAAAAGGTACATTATCCATTAATTTTACAGACATTTCCGCCAAGTTTAAAAATTAAATGTTTCATAAGAAAATATGGGTGTGGCGTTCCAGCAGTTTTTTTTTTTTTGGCATGTTATTTTGTCAGTATCCATATTTAGAGCTCTGCTTAACAATGCCAAAAGAGCACACCTCATTTACCTTGGCCTGCATATGTCAACATGCTACAGAACTGCACGCATTTGCTGAAATCATGCAAAGTGCCAGGCAGCACTGTACATGATTGATGGTGTTGTGCACATGTCGGTTTCTTCTCTAACTTTAGTAAATCACCTATCCAAAGGGGCCTTTAACAGGCCATTAACACACAACACTGACACAATCCATCTTCACAGTCACACACGCTTACAAATCCTCTTATGCTCTGCACAAGGATGTTGTCATCTGCTTTTGAAATATATATTTGGGAAATATATGGATAAAAAATATTGCCAGGACAAAGAGCTTGGGATAAAAAGGGTAAAAAAAATAAATAAATCTGTTCTGACTGATTTTCAATCTTAACTGTCAGTTGTGGGCTAGAAGACAAATTAATCCCAGCTGACGGCTTGTGCTGCAATAAGAAACCTAAATTCAGAGGAACCTGCATGCTATATCATTTTATTACTAATGGAGCTTGAACAGCAGGTGGTGTAGGCTACAAATAAATAAATGAATGTGTAAAATCACTTTCACGCAAAATTCCTTTCGTGTAGGACAAAGAGTGAAGAATGAAAACCAGCAAGCTGCAAACAAATTCAGACATACAGAGACCAAAAATGTGCTCGATTTGAAAATATGTTTTTTTAAATGAACGTTATCATGAATATTTGACTCTTCTACAGTGTTCAGTATCTCACAATCTCATAATTAAATTAATTTAGTAGCTCCAGCCATTAGTAGATCCTACCAGCAGGAGGCACTAGTATACTGCAAAACAAATGAGCAAAGACCTGAGTAATTCTTTCCCTTCGAAATGCACTTTACTTGTTCATCTTGATAAAGAGCAGGTGCCATTTAGTCACGGTATATAAGGGATGACTCATCTCTAAGCAACATGTTGGTTTAATGAAAATCAGCATGTGATCATCTATTCCCTTTGGTCAATGTGGCTCCACTAATGTCTTTCAAACCTCATTTATAATTTAGTTCCTATGTTCATTAGTCAAAAGCTACAGGATTTGAAAAGGAGATCAAATATAGCACACTTCACCTAGATGAAGAATAAATTATTAATATAATAAATTATATTAATTGCTTATATAAAAAATGTTCAAAGATAGAAAGCTTTAAATTCTTTAGCTCACAGTGCTGTATATGTACTGATAACTGGAATCAGGTGTATGAAGAAAGAAGGCTATAAATAAATAAATATTTATCCTGTGATTTTTATAAGAAAGATTTTCACAGTTCACAGCCCAGACGAACGATTTCATCTATTAGAAAGTCCACGTCCTCCCTCTGAGTGGCTGGGTTGGAGAAAACACAACGGAAGAAATTCACTTTGTCTTCCAGAGGTTGATAGCCAATCATTGTGAATCCTTCCTCCATCATCTTTGTCTTGATTTTTGGAGCCACCTGTGGGAATTCATAATGTCAGCTTACAAGCAGATAAACTGTCTTCCTAAATTTACTGGTTAATTAAGAAATGAAAAGGCTTCATTTCTTGACTCACCATATGAAGTTCTCTGTCTCGCTCTGGGCTTGGAAGAGTGCTTTGCAGTCGTTTTGGGAGATACCAAAAGCAGACATTACTGTGTTCGGGCTGAAATAATATGTTAAATATATTAAATCATAAAGCGATGATTTATGTAACGCACAGGGAACCAAACTTCATCATGAGCTCTAACAACTGTTCGAATTATTAAACAATTTTCATCTTAAAATATGCTGAAAATTTACAGAATCATGGCACTAACCTTTCCTTTGAAGACAAGCTGAAAGTCTGCTCTCCTCTTCAGTTTGTAGTAAAGATACTCTGCATTTTCCAGGCAGTGGTTGATCTGTGCTTCAAAACCCTCAGAACCCTATAAAGAATTTATTTAATATTTGCTTTCTCTATAAGAAAAATAAAAAAAATTTTTTGGACGGTTGTGCTTCAAGGTTTAGTTTGTGTGTATGTGTGTGTCATTCTGCCATATTTAAATCTTTGAAATCTTTGAATCAGTCTTAAAAATGCAGAAGAGAAATAAACATTTTAAAAGTAGATGAAACCAAAGGCTCACTCACAGAAAAGAATAATAGAATATGTGATGGAGCACAAAACCAGTCTTAAGTCGCTTGGGTATATTTGTAGCAATAGCCAAAAATACATTGTATGGGTCAAAATTATAGATTTTGTTTTATGCCAAAAATCATTAGGACATTAAGTAAAGATCAAGTTTCATGAAGATATTTTGAAAATGTCCTACTGTAAATATATCAAAACTTCATTTTTGATTAGTAACATGCATTGCTAAGAACTTAATTTGGACAACTTTAAAGGCGATTTTCTCAATATCTTGATTTTTTTTGCACCCTCAGATTCCAGATTTTCAAATAGTTGTATCTAGGCCAAATATTTTCCTATCCTAACAAACTGTTCATCAATGGAAAGCTTGTTTATTCAGCTTTCAGATGATGTATAAAACTCAATTTCGAAAAATTGACCCTTATGACTGGTTTTGTGGTCCAGGGTCACATATGGTTATATAAAAGAATAAATAAAATATGTTTTGATTTCTTCTTTTTTTTTAATATAATTGGGGTACAATTCCTACTTTTCAGTTCTGGATATTGAACTATTTCAAACAATCTTTTGCCTCCACTTCTTTCTTCTTCACTTCTCCACAAAAAAAATAAAAATAAAATAAAAGTATTTTTTTCCATCTGGGAGCTGTCATTTTCCAGATCACATTTCTGATGGTGGTTGAAAGCACATTTTGTTTGTATAAGGAGAGGTTAAGGTTGTCTGTCAAACCTTTGCCTTCCACATGAGCCACAGTTTGAAGACATCTACATGCCGTCCACATTGAATGCTTTTGTCCCCAGTGTCGTAGGACACATCATAGTGCTTGTCAGGTTGGAAGAGATACTCGGCACACAGCTGATTACATTCCTGCAGGAGGCCCTGAGAACAGCACATGGCCATTTTCAATACCTCCTCAAGAATCAATGACTCTTTGCAGCCTGTTGTGATGTGTATGAATTCCTGTTTGTCTTGAGCAGTAAAGCTGCCCACTGTTCTTGACAAAACCTTGATTCCTAGACGTGACTGACTTGCATGCTTTGCAGTCTGCATCATTTGCGTTCAGAGATTGATATTGAGATCCAACTGTGTCACTCAGGGAAATTGAGGGAAAAATACAACCATCACAAAAGGCTGACACTACTGACAAGGGCATGTCCTTCTGAACAAAATCAATTTGTGTAAATTCACCTATATATGTTAAGTACATTTATGTTATTCAGCTTCTTCAGAGCAGTAAAACATACAAAATATATATATATATTTTTTTACTATATGATTTTTTTTCTCCACATTTTACATCTCGCTATTCTCAGCTCACCTTCCTCTTCACTAGAATGGTTGAGCATTGCAGTGGGACGCCCATCATCTTGTGTGGGTTCCAGGTCACAGAATGGGCTCTGGATGAATGCATATGAATAAAATGATGATGTTAGATGTTGAAATAATTCCACCAATTTAAAATACACTTTGAAAATATAAAATGATTTTTGAAATGGAGGTGGAATCCATTAGACAGAAACTTTTGATCAATTTGATGTTTTCTAGGAGCAAGGCTGTAATTGCAGGTTCTGGCCAACCGTCAGTACAAAAGAAATGAAGGTAAGAAAGATTTTAGGCTGACAGGGGTTGAGTGTGTTATATGTTTTAACACAGTCTCACAGAGTAAATGTCAATGTGCTTTCACCACACTCCTTTTGGAGCTACATGACGTGAATTATCCCGCAGAACACCAAATGTAATAGCAATGAAGGTGACACTTTGTGTTGATTAAAAGAAAATGAAACCGAGGGATGTTGAAGAAGCATCCAGAGAACTGACTGCAGACACTTAAGGTAGATGAAGCAGCCCATGCTTGCATTAGCCAACAAGATTTAAAAGCAACATGAGAGTCCAACAAACAGGTAGCATGTAAACAGGAACGTGATCAGGTAAATACTAAAAAAGTACTTTTTTAAATATTTGGCTGTTTTAGCAATAGAGACAGTGGGATCAGAAAATGTTACAAGCTGTGCAAACAGTCACTCCATTATTGTTCTATGGCACACAGCAAATCTGCAAGTGTCATTGAATCTCAGATATAGTTAACTGAGCTCTTTTGGAGTTTGGCATTGCTTACGCTAAAGCATTACATCACAAAACAATGATATATGCACTCCTAACAGTTAAATGGACTGAATGTTTCCCAGTTAACAATTATGCATTTAGTAGAGGTTTTTATCCAAAGCAAAGCACTGCACTCAAGGTATACATTTTATCACTTCATGAATCAAACCCATGACCTTGGCGTTGCTTATGCCATTGAGCAACAGGAACACATTATACAATCAAAATGCTTGATTTAGGTTACCTTTTAATTCCTTGCAGTTTCACACGATGTTTGTTGGACAGAAGCAAGCCTCCACCCCAAGCTGCCTAAATAAGACAAGAGTATTAAAGCACTGCCTCATTTTGACTATATTTAATAAAATGTATCTAATAAGATAAAATGCATTACATCCACATGCATCCATAGGCCATGGTGTTCACAAATGTCTGCTATTTCATTCAGAGGGTCAAAGGCTCCATAGACTGTGGTTCCTGCTGTTGCATTAACATAGAATGGCACCAGACCCTATAGACAGCAAACAGAGATTTGCTAACACACTGACCAAAAAAAAATCCAGACAAACATGTCTGTTGTTGTTTGCCTGCATCTGTCAGTGCAGTGTGAATGGGCCTTTACAAGAAAATACAATTTCTTTTTTTTTCTACTGCAAAATGTCATGTTTAATTCAGTGTTACTTAATGTCTCTTAGTAATTGTTTACAACATTTATTATCAATTTCTGTGTTAAGAATGTTTTTAAACCCTTTTTTTCAGTGCATGATCAAAATTATTGCTGACCTGAATATCATGCAGGGTCCTACAGTATCTACTGTGATATAGACTATTGTTTTCCCTTCATTTTTCAATGTGTGGAACTGCAGAAATTTTAGTTTCAACGCCAGTTAATTTAATATGCAATGGCTGTATTTAACCTGCAAGACAATTTTAGGAAAAATGTCCCGTTCATGCCCATTTATTACATTGCTCAATATATTCATAATAGTCATAATTTTTGGCTATAGAACAGATAACCCCCTCACTTTGCATATTAAATCTTACACCTTAAAGTGGTAGAACTGCCATTTATTTGAACAGAATCAGTAGGTAATGCAACTATCTCCCAGTATAGTTCCCACATGTCGTGCATACTGATTTTGCCAATAATGAAAATATGGAGAGATAGAAGGGAAATAAAATCACAATTGTTTCCAAGTTCTCGGCTGATATGATACATTTCTACTGATCTGATAAGTTTGGCTGAGAAGGCGATCTGAAATTTTAATCTGCCCCACATTGTCTTTTTTCTGCTTAATTTAACATTACATAATGTTCAATTTTAGATTCTAGATAATTTAACTAGGATTACTTTGTCTGGTGTAACCACATCTCACACGTCTAAAATGGACCATATCACACCCCTGCCACAAGCTGATATTTAGTCGGCTACTACAGCATGATTGCAAGTGAAAATGGCTTTTATACAAGCATTTATAACAGTCCTATAAATAAGACATTGATATTGAGTAACCAGACATTTTAGACAAAATATGGCCAGTTCAACAGATTACAGTCAAATTAGCAGAGTGATACAAAGTGCTATAGAACTTAATCAGGGTAGTGACATATTTAATTTTTGACAGGAATTAAAACGAGGCTGTGAGGGATAGAAGTACAGTGCTGTTGTTTAACAAACTGATTGTTCAGGTGACGAAACAAAAAATAAAAAATAAAAATAAATAACCTTTCAGTGCACAAAAACTCCATAAAACATTTTTGAAAAAAATTCTGTGGTATACAACATTCATACAGTGTCAACACCCTTGTTCGCATTCATGTTAAATTCAATATGGCGTCTAACCTGACTAAGGTCTGTTATATGAAATGTTGCATGTCATATGGAGGTATGATCCGTAAATGGTGGGAACCAGAAAACAAACGTTTATAATAAAAATAATCAGCTCAAAGTCAGCTCATTTGACTAACCTTAGACTTTGCTGTCTCAATGCTGGAGTTCAGTTCTGATGAGATCATCTTCCCCCTCAGAGAGAAACCAAAAAGTTGTATTAATCTCGGTAAACTGGACACATTGCAAATGATGAACGTATGATTCCATCCACCAAACTCACCTTTCATCACATCTGACGACTATAACATTTTCAGAGCCGATGCCGAGAACTGCTGCAGACTTCTTGATTGAATAATGACTCTAATAAGGAAAGCGTATGTTAAACATGCACAGGCAAACAGCTAACATGATCTGACCTTTTGCTTTACTATAACAAGAAATATTCAAATTAACGTCAGTTTATCTGCACTTTTAAAAAACGCTGCTGTGACACGTAACGTCTGACCTCCCAATCAGCGGGTCAGGAGGTAATAGCTGAAATGTGTTGTGCTATGTGTCTCATTGAGTAAGTGGAGCTGTCACAGCATGCCCGCTGAGAGTGGAGGAAACAATAATGAGATTATGTACGTGCACGGAGGTGAACAGTGCCAGGCGAGGTATCGCAGACATCCCGTGGGTCTTCACCACCGGAAAGCGATGAAACCTTGCCAACAACACACTGTACAGATTGGACATGGTGCCTCCTGCAGAGAAAGCCATTAGCTGTTTAATGAAATACTAATGATAGAAAAGTTCCAATGTTCATTTTCAAAACACAAATATAAATGCTTCCTGTATTTGTGTGCTTTCAGGATGTTACCTGGACAAAAGATGCCATCTCCATCTTCCTCTGGCCATCCAATAATTGAATGCATTTTTCTCAGAACTACTTCCTCCATGAGTATAAAGACTGGGGATATTTCATAAGTGAACCTGTAAAAATAGAAGAACTTAGACTCATATGTGCACTAAAGAAGCATAATGGAAACTGTAACAAACGTTGCTTTCAGTCAGATTGGAAATGGAAAATTTATTTTCTGAAAATCTTATTGATTTTTTTGACCTCATACTTTTAAATAAAAATGTCATAAATGTCACGACTTCCCCAATCATTTAGTCCACTTAAAACTCGCCCCTTTCTTACAACATACTGAAAGCTCACATTCAGATCTGCCTCCGTCCATCTTTTTCCATCACAATGTGACAGAAATGATCTGTTGCTACTTCTGTTACATGGCGACTTTAACATACATGACTCATTGTTTTTTGTACTTTATTTATCTCAAGCTTGATATTAGAAATATAATGAATAATTTCCCCATAGCTAACAGCTAAAACATAAGCCGTTTTGAAACCTACATGTTACACTGTTTAAAAGTCGATAAGAGTTTTAAAATATATATATTTTTTCAAGCAGTCTCTTATGCTCACCAAGGCTGCATGTATTTGATCAAAAATACAATGAATCAATGTGGAAAACAGTTCATTAGTTTCATCCCTATACCTAATTTTAAATGTGTTCCAAAAACCATCCCTGGACGCCCTTACATTTATTTTTCTGTTCATTTATAATTATAATATGAATGTTGAAGAAATTAAACTCCTGCCCTACATGTTTGTATTTGCTGTGGACGTCAACCATTCTCCTGCCAGGCCAATGATGTCAAGTCCAGTTGACAGCTGGTTGAAAAACCTTGGATGACCTGGCAACATTAAAGGGCAGCATTAACAAAAACCTCCACTTTGACTTGTGTTATTTTGCATGTTCTTACCTGTTTTAACTCCATATTTAAGTGTGTCTCTGCAGTCCACCAGCAGCTGCTCCAAGTTATCTGGCTGGTCAGGGAGCTCCAGGCTGAATCCCTCCAGACCTTCCTTAAGCTGGTGAGGATAGTGGAAGTCTAGAACTTTGGAGCTGCGTTTGAAGGATTTATTGATGTAGGCCAGCAAGATGTTTACCAGCTCCTGCAGGAAGTGCTTGGTTGCTTCCTCTCCATCCTCAGCAGGGAGCAGATCTGAACAAACACAAAATGCACGTCATTCTCACAAATTATTTGTGATTCAGGTCCAATATGAGCACTATGTACTGGCTACAATGTCCAGAGCCGTTGCAACACAGTTCTGTGGTTTAGTTTGCATTTTTCATTTGAAAACTGTAAAACATTTGCAAGCGCTGCTAATTAAAATAATTTGAATGCACCACATTGAAGGAAAATATTTACTTTGTGTAAGTAATTGTAGCTGAATTAAAAACGAGTCTCTTGAAAGCTTTATTTAATTTAAATCAATATTACATTTAATTTTTTTTTTCATTTGGAAACACTTTTATCCCCGATGGCTTAGAGTGCAATTTCTACATTATATCATTTCATTTCATTGGAACAATATTTGAATAGATGTCAAACCATGCTATTTGCACTAGCTTTCTGTACGTTTGAGCATGTTCAGTCAAAACATTCATTACATTTGATATCAAACTGAAAAGAGCGAAACATCCCACAATGCTGGGCTCTATTTCTTTTCAGAAATTGTTTCTATTACCATTGTTGTACTGCAGGAGAGAAGCTCAGACATTTCAACACCCTTTCATCTGAGTATTTGCTGTACCTTTGCTGTGGATGCAGCTGAAGTCATGGGCAACTCGCCCACTATCGTATGTCAGGCAGTCATCATTGTTTCCTAAAGAGCCTGTGTCTTGTTTGCTCTTGTCTAAATGCCGCCTATCAGCTTGTGTTAACTCCATAATGTCTCCTGGAGACCTGCACACACATCAACATACAAGCTCAAAGACACACAGATACCACCAGTTCTTTTACTATTAGGTATTTCAGTTTTAGTAATTCTGTTGTTTTTGTTAATTTTTTATATTTCTATTTAGCTTTATTTTCATTTCAGTTTTAGTTTCACTAATTTCACTTATTCATTTTCAACTTTATTTCAGAAAACTGCCAAGGCAACATTTCTAAATTCCTTTGAAGGTTTTTTTTCATCTAATATTTGGTGTATACTTATTTCAACTGTATTTCAATTAACAAAAACAACTCTTAATAGTTTTAGTTAACAATAATAGCACTGACAGATACACACAAACACAACTTAAGAAATTACATTATACCACTTCAATTAGAAAATAAAACCGAAATGGTTTAATATCAGCACAGTGAACAGCCACTTATTTGAACATGAGCACCAATCGCTGATTATGTTAACAAAAATAACTGCATAAAATTATTCGGAAATTGTACAGTATGGCAAAAATGAAAGTAATTTGGCATTCTAACATGATATAATAAAAATACAACAATAGGTCAATGTAGTTTACCTTCTCATTGAGGCATCCACTCTTGTAGACTGTTAGTATGTAGAGTCTGTGCCAAATGGCTGAGAGTTATAAAAGCCCCAGCCTCTGCCCCAGGGTTGAAAATCAACCAACCTTCAGTCAAACTGGGTGTGGTCATAGTGCATGGTTTTCCATCCCAGTTGAAGCAATGCTATTACATAAGGACGAAAACGCCCATGGCCTCATCACCTTTTCAGACCCTGTCTCTTCTTTTGTTAACTGATATGAATGTGTTCACGCACTGCAGTGCCTCCAGACGACAGATGCCTAGGCATGAAAAAAAATTAATAAACACAGGTTTATGTGAAGATGGCCAAATCTTGAGGCATTCAGTCGACAGAAACGTCACTTTTCAAGGCCAAATATTTCCCCTTTATAAATCCTGCTGGCTTGTTTTTTTACATGCTGTATGTACATCAGGAAAAAAAAATCAAAATCTCTGACCTGTCAGATTTTCTTTTGCTAAGAAAAGGGAGGCTTCTGTCTAAATCTAAATTCTTACTGACAAATAACTAACAAAATACACCATGCATAATGTTATTGGGGAAACAATTTAGGAAATGTTTTAAAACGTCACAGTATCACAGTATTGAGGGAACAGATACAATGTGAAACCTCTTCAGATTGTTGATGCAAATCAGATATCCTTTCGTCCATATGTCTACATTTTGAGATATAAAAGACGGTGACTTAGCTTTGCAGCGAGGGCAGGCCAGCAGAGATCCTATTTAAGAGGAGCACAAAGGAGCTCAGTCTTTCAAATGGTGTGCAAATAGCTTGGACAAAGTGAATAGAGGGAACAGCGAGTGAGATATGTAGGTTTGTTTTTATTATTTATTTTCATGATTTTTAATCAGGTTGAGCATGCTGCTTCCATCAGTTTCACTGGTTAAATGATTTCTATGTTTAGTCCTTGAACATTACCTTGCTTAGAACGAGCGCAGCCATGGTAACTTCACTGAATGGAAGAATCCATTTGTGCATTAATCTGTATATGAAGATTCCACATATTGGTAAAACACTGGCTAATGGACCCCTATTTTTGTTTAAGACATGAGAGAGAACACACTATTTTTTTGTATAATTGCTTCATTTTGATAATTTATTATACCCCAGTATACTGCAAGATTATTTAATTTTCTATGTTGATGTTTACTTCAAATCAAAATGAATGAAGAAACAAGTAGAAATTGAAGGAAAAGCATGGCACATAAAGGCCTGTTCATGCCAAGAATGATAACTATAAAGAGAACGATAGCTATATTAGCGTCCACACCAAGAGATGGTAATATTCAGTTTATTATAAGCATGCACTGCTGCTTTAAATACTTGACCTCTTTAAAGTGGGATGCATTTTGATTGGCTATCAATGTTTTTATTGTTCATCAGCTTGGGAAAAACACTTTAACACTTTAAAAGCAAAATCAATTCTCTGTGTCGTTATTGTTATAGCTATTGTGTGGACATTGCTATTCTCACAAAATGATGATTATAACTTATATAACTTTTATTCATCATTATAGTTATTGGCCTTGGTGTACAGGGTCCTTAAGAGCAGTGTCACCAAAAAAAGTGCGAGCGAGGGCCCTGATTTCTAGCAATGCCATTGAAGGGGCCCAATGCAATAAAATGTACAAGGGGCCCCAGAAAACCAAGCAATGCTACTAACACATAATTTATAAGCAGTAATCACCCAAACAAAAATTGCTACACCCACACAAACAGTGTCTGGGATTGACAACTGTATTTTATAACAAGTGAGACTCACAAACTGTCCCATTTACAAGCATACAGTTGTCACAATTTTGTCCACCAAGGATGACAAAGAGGAATACATTCCAATAGTAGAGATACTTTATTTAAACCACACAAAAGATGAGTAGCGAAGCAACAGTGTGTACTAAAACACATCCAGCACCAGACAATGAACAGAAAGAACGGAAGAGCTTAGCCTTCTTGAGTGTATGCCGGACACCATTGAAGTTTTACACAGTTCTGGCAGGAGCAGCTCGGAAGACAGTGACTAGATCTGAAACCATCAGATGATACACAGTCAGTGTTGTGGAGTAGCTAGTTACATTTAATGGAATTACGTAATTTAATTACAAAATAAAAGTAATTGTAATCAATTACAGTTACTGATAAAAAATGTGTAATTAAATTACAGTTACTTATGAAAATGTTAAGGATTACAAAGGGGTTACATCTGCTTTTTTTTCACACACACTCCCACATACAGATTTAACTGATTTCTTTCATAAATTGCAGTGACTGCTCTAAAATTTGTTTATAACAAGCTTATTCGATAACTCTTTTTTTTCCTATATGGGTTTATGTGTAGCTATGCTTAATTTTTTAAAGATGAACTGTTTTTTCCCAAGGCATTGTTAGATTCCAGTGTTTACTGTCATAGCTATATGCAAAGATTTGATTCCAAAAACAGTATCATAGCTGATAAAATATTTATTGTTATGATTTTAAATATGTATTTAACCTCAGAGTGATCTCAAAGTAAGTCTGATTTTGTGGTGGCTGTGCTCCAAAGGGGACATTGATCTTCCACAAGTAGGTATGATTCTTTAGGGCCTTCATGAACGGTCTGCAACATGGTTAAAATTCCTCAGTGGTCGTGTAAAACAACACCCTTTTTACCTTGCTCTGTTCACAGCGACTCATTTTGGGGCATGTCCCTTTAAATGCTAATGAGCGCTGCTCACCCTCCCCTTTCTTCTGTGGAAGAGCAAAGGTGATTTGCAAATAATCATAAAAAATATAAAGTGTCAGACTTACTTCTTCTGGAGGTGCAGCTGGATCACGAAAAATGGGTACTGATCTATCCTTGAGTTTTAACTTTTTAACAAAACCTGCCTTGAATTGTCCCTCGTTCAAAAAGCAGTCTGGAGTAAAATTATTTGCGCAGACATAAACGAATTTAGGTGTATTCAGTGCCGAATTACCATTAAAAACAAAACTAATGCACTGCGTCCTCAGTGGTTATTCTTATGTTCTTCTACATCACAAAACTACAAAACACCTGCATTGCTAACAAGACATTGTCGCTACAGCTGCTGGAGCATGGAGAAAATGATGTACTTCGTACAACTGGCTGAGGGCGAAAACATGCTAATATTGGACAGTACATCAGTGGTTGTGGGCGGGGCCTGAACAATATGACATCATACTGCTCAGAAAATCAAAACGGCTTGATAATTGAGACTGTTTAGGATTTTGGGGGATTAAAAAATGGAGTGAATGGATTTTTATCATTGTAGGGTGGTTGTGTCCACACACTGCTAAGATACATTTATATGCAAACACCATGTAAAAGTGAATTTTGCATCCAATGTCTACTTTAAAATTGAAAAATAATCTTAATTCAAGTGATGAAGGATTTCGAAAGTGTGACAGTAATCAGTGTTGAGTACTACTGTAAGGTTAACCCTGCCTGGTTTACATGTTTGAAAATGATAAACAGTTGAACACATTAGAAATTTAGAAAAGTAATCAAAAAGTAATCAAATGTAGTCAGTTACATTAATAAAGTAATTGAAAAGTTACACTACTTTTTACATTTTAAGTAGGGTAACTTGTAATCTGTAACCTATTACATTTCCAAAGTAACCTTCCCAACACTGTACACAGTTCATACCTCTGTCTCTGCAAGTTATCGAAACCACACGTGTGAATATGCAGTGTTTACCCATGTAACACATAGTGGAGATTAGGTACTGTATGACATCCAGTCCAAAATAGTTCCATTCACACAGTGGTTGTGAAAATGGGGTTTGTGAGTCCTGAAAAATTACAGGTGTGAGTAGTGAACGTAACAGAATTAAGTACTGAAAACAGGACTAAGAACCATATTCTGCTTCTACTGTGTGGATGTGGCCTATGTGCAGGTGGCATTAGATTCAGGAATCCCAGATATATGCAAATAAGAGTGAAAAACACAGGAGCTGGCCTGTGGTTTAGCCCGCTGTAATATTCTGTGTAATGTGACCATAAATAAATATACCACACTTTCATTCCTTTGGTCAAAAGGTTGCTCTTCAATGCAGGAGGTATGTTTATTGAAAATCACTCCTCCGGTGCACAGTCAAGTTGAAGAGAAATTTGTTTTCTCAAGCAGGCATCCAGTAATCACATCCCAGCAGGCCTTACAGTCTGGTATGCTTGCTTGAGCACCTAGCGTTTTATATGCACAGTGAAAACTGTATTCACAGCACACCTGTACGGTTTCAAAGTTGCTTTTTAAAATTCATCAAGCTTGGTGAACATGAGGATTAATTAGCTACATAAGTTAGGATCTACTGGCATGCTTGTTAATGTGTTTATGGCTAACCAGATTCACAAATGAACTTTTCTGAACAGTCCAGTGGGCCTTTACCATATGATATGCACCATGGTCGTAAATAGAAGTTTTAACTAAGTAAATGACAACAAGTCTCTTAAGCAAATGTAGACATTTGAAAATAGTGTTTTGCAATTTAAATGCTATTTACATGAATTTGCTTTGCTGGCTCATTCCATGTGAAATTACCTGAGGTAAGGAGTTTTTCAAACCACCCGTTACAGATCTGCACTCTTATATGCGGAGTTAAACCAAAGGTAATGGTTTAAGAATATTTTACATTTTATAGCACAACATATTGATAAATAGTACATTTTTGTTGATATGCAGAAGTTAACAAAATAGATTTTACTGACTAAAACGTCTCATTTAGTATTAGTAGTTCATAAAAGAGTTTTGTTTTAAGATAAAATACGTAAAGTATTTAAAAAAAAATGCTGATAAAAATCTGAATAAGTGCAATTAGAAAAATTAATTGTATAAGACAGTGTAAGAAAAATTAAAATTCTCACATGGTGTTTTATTCCACACTCCATTTAGACACAGCACATGCAGACAGTCTCACAGTTATGAATAAGGGACAATGAAAATCCATTATAACACAGACTTTACTTTTAAACATAATGTCCTAAGAAGGTACAAGACTGCACACATCAGGAATAACAGTTTTGTTTAACTGAAT